TTCCGAATTCTGCCAATTAAAGTGATCATTTGTCAAGAGACACCTATGTAGGGTCTCTTTAGAAAGACATATGAATAACAATTGGCATTTCCACTCAATCATCGACTTCAACTATATTCGGCCAGCTATTTCACGCTGCATTTGAAATAATTGTCCTATTTTAGTGGCTGCCAAAAAGCCCGCAATACTGATCACAGTTTTCGCCCCATTCGAGGGTCTATCAAAATGAATGAGCCAGAAAATATAAAAGAACAAGTGAGATAGTCTTAGAGATGACTAGATTCAAAACTGTTTATCTGGAGCGATCTGCTCGTTTTAAGACCCCTAGTCGTGGAAAACGCTATGGCCCAATTATAATATCTGATGCCTTTGTGTCTTGTTTCATTTTTAATCGGTAGCGTTGGGTACTACTTCATTTGTCATACCCCACATCGAGTAAAACCCTCTTTTTCTCTCTCAGGTTATTAGTCCCACCTAATTCTGAGGCTAGACTCAGTTTGGCGTGTATACGATGTTTAATAAATAAATCGGTCAGGAATGTCATGGTCTACCCACCCCTCCCTCACACACTTAAAATATGCGCCATAAGCCAACGAATATTGTCTTCAACCACCACTGCACAACACCGAATGCATTGGAGTCGATTTAGCTTCTGAAATTAGCATTAACATCCTGTCCAGGCGCTTGTGATCCATTGTGGATTCACTACGGCAACTTTTTTGAATATGATCTGAGGTTCGAATATAGGATTAATACAGCTCTTATACCAGATGCATTTGTAGTCGATTGTCATAGCAAATGCAACTTTACTTCATCGACAATCCCACCACATAATATGATATAGGAAAGTGCGTAGCCTTCTTTGAAATTCAGATCTACCGTACAACCAAATGACACTCATGACGATATGGCGTATTGGCTAACATGTCGAGAATATATACTGCACTATCACGATTCTATTCCCGATATGGGTGTTAATGAGGCCAGTTTAGGCGAGGTCAAAACTGCAGTCCACTCCTGCTTGAATAAAAAAAACTTTTTGAGAAGTAAATTTATGCGAAATTCAATGGCCTACTCATATCGATTGTGGAAAACTTTAATTACCAGTCAAATAGGATAAATATAGATTTTGTAAAAAAGAAAATTGTCTTCGCTTGTCAATTTGACGAGCTAAAATTCGATGATAAGGGTGGCTCTTCTCAATGACGATAATGGCACAATTTCTGGGAATATTCCAAGTCAACGGCCCAATGCTGGACATTTTCAATATTAACCGAGCAGTGGACATAAGACTAGAACGTTACAAAAGGTTACCCTGTCACCCTGACAAAATAATGAAAGCGTGGCCAAATCAGGACTCAGCAACTTTTTGCTTCCGAGACCGATGCCTGGCATCAAGCCAGACTCACTCCCAACCTTTTATAATGGGTCAAATCCAAGGTAACCCACCAAAATTGCAAAGCTTTGACACTATGCTGAAACTCCTTTGTCTAATGTAACAAAACAATTAAACTATGTATTCACTATTCAGATCTTAGACAATGTATACAAAAAACCTGAATGTAAATATAGCAAGTATTGATAAAATGATTTAGCATTCTGTGTGTCTATTATGCCCTCTTTGTTAAGAAGTTTTAATTGATTTGGGCAATCAGACCGCTGCCAAGCACATAAATACTGAGGTATGGAGGCAAAAAAGGAAAAACAGGATATTGATAACATTGGTCATGGTCTCTAATAAAAAAATAGTCCAAATCGATTGCGAGAATAAAGCTCTAGGATGGTAAATTCAAATTCAAAGACTAGAAGATTAGACTGGAAAAGACTAGAATATTAGAAGACACCAGAAGACCAAATGACATTCATATATTACAATTAAAAGGGCATCAGAGAAAAGAATAGACGTAAGGAAAAATTAAGAGGTTAAACTATCAGTTCTACCATCACCTGCCAAGCAAAGCCGAATACTCTCTAAGATAGGCGTAAATAATGGATTAGATAAAATCATTTAAAGTAAACTATACAGAGTATGACATACAAGAACTGCAATGTAGGCAGTATGAACACCAAAATACAATGTTTCTAGTTAACACGAAAACAACCACAAAATTAATTAGCTAGAATCAACGAGAAAATTATTTGTTTACCAATATCGCTTGCTGGGTGGAACGGTAACAGGTTCGCGGCGTAAACCGGCGTCTGGCTGCATCTCTATCAACTCCCGGAAGACGCTAGCTAAATGGCTGGGTGTGATACAGCCAGTCGGCAGCGTCAATTCCCGTGACGCAGGTCCAGTTTGCGGTCTGCTGATCAAGTCAGCCAGAAGAGTGTAGTAGATGAGCAACGAATCTAGCCGACCCCCCAGAGGAATCGGACTTTCCTCGTGTAAATTTTGCAACCGTTGATGTTCACCGACTGAGTTCGCCTCAATGGAGACCTCGGTTGTAAAGGAACGTGAGTGTTTAACTGGGCAAACTGACGGATTTGGGACAACTGGCCCAATATTGGATGAATCCACCAGCGTAAGAGTCCGGGAGGATGGCAAAAGCCGGGCTCTATTTGCCGCCTGCCGCCGACGAGCTCGCAACAAGCGCATCGAGGCGGCAGTCTCGAGAACGTCGGCCAAGCTGACTAAGGCAGGCCGACAGCCAGGCTCCAGACCAGCCGGACGGCCTGCTGCCTCAGCAGGCATAGAGGAAGCGCCGGCGCCTCCCCCTCCATTGCTACCTGTCGTGGAGCCGGGAAGGCCAAAACTACTGCTACTGACTCTGGTTCCAGTACTGGTGGTCGTGGAGGCAGAGCCAAGACCGATGCTTACAGCAGCTGAGCCGGATGAGTGCTGTTGCTGTTGCTGAAGGGGAGAGGTTTTCTGGTCTGGCAGACCAACAGCTGACTGCAATAGTAGGGCAAGAAAAAGCATATGAGGGTATTGCATTAAGACGAATGCGTTATGGTGAACTATTTGGGTAAGTTGTCGAGTTTTCTGATAAATTCTCTAGAGTAAATTCATTCATTCATTTATAAATTAAAAGTTATATCAAAAACCCCCAAAAAAGAACAATATATACGCACAAAAATGTTCTAAGCGTTTTATAACTTCTACAGAATGTTATTAGGTTCCATGATAAATAATATTAATTGCCTTAATAATTAAGAATCCTTAAAATTCAAGTAT